CACACACACACTCACACACACTCACAAGCTCACACACACTCTCACACACACACTCACACACTCTCACACACACACACTCACACACTCTCACACACTCACACACACTCACACACACTCACACACACACACTCTCACAGCGAGGAGGAGCACCCGGCACCCGCAGCCCAGCTGCTGGTCCAGAGAGGGCAGGAGATCTTATTTTGCCGCCAGAACTCCTTCCCCCGGCCACAGACGAGCTTTCCTCGACGGCAGGAGCTGCTCCCAGGCCCCGTGGAACTTGCTTTGTCACTTCACTCTGAAAAAAAGCCCTGCGCCCCAGCTGACTTCCCAGGTGGTAAGGAGCAGGGTGTCAGCGGGGATTACTGGGCAATAACCTTCTTCTGATCACACCAGCATTCCTCCATTTCCAACAGATAAAAACGAATATTCAGTCCCATCTTCAGGGAGGCCTGGATAGGGCTGGGCCCGGTGTCCTCCTTGAGAGAGAAGCACCGCAGGCCTCCCAGGTCAGACCCTAGGCCTTACACCGCTTTGGGCAGGGGCTTTTCTCAGCCTTAGGCAGGTGTGAACAGAAAAATCCAGGTAGGGAGAGAATTAGCCTAAAGCCGAAAAGATAAGGACCTCCCCAAACCAAAGACAGTTGTGGTTTGCCGCTCCTCCAAAGGACCCGGACATCTCCTGTCCGTCTCTCAGCACCCTGATCCCAGGCTGCCTACAGCCTGGCAGGAAGAAACCACTGAGCAGCTCAAGAAGCACCTCCCCTCACAGGAGTTGTCTTCCCGGGGTTTCTTCTTGGGAGAAACTGGAAAGAAAGGTGGCTGGTCCAAGAGGGGCGGGGGTGAGCACAACGTGCCTGAGGGGCGTGGTATGATACTGATGCTCCACAAAATTAGAGTCTCACCACCCACCAGGTTCAGGCTCAGGGTTTTTCTTTGTTTTTCTTTTCCATCTTGATGAAAATTTTACAGTATCTCTATTTGCACAGCACATACTGTGTGGCCAGTGTGTCACAACTAACGTAGCTGATTTTATGGGCTTTTGACAGTTCTTTCGAACGTTTTCACACACTCGTGTCCATAACCTCCGTTCAGGGCCATAGGTCCTTAAGCATCAATTCAATGACAATTCAGGGAGAAAGGACTTTCTCAGGGGTCTTCGCATGGTATGATCTTAGAGAACCTTCCCACAAATCAGGCCAGAGCTCCACAGTCTGCAAAGGCCTCCTCTCTCCTCCCCCTGGAAAATTCCTACTCAGGGCACTCAGCCTCCCTCCCATCCCAGACCCTCCCCAGCTGCCTGGGGCAAGTCAAATCCTCATTCCTTTTGAGCCTGCTGCTTTGTTTACTCCCTCTTAGCTGGGGCTGTTTACACATGTGGCTCCTTCCCTGACACACCTCCTGGAGCCAAGTCTGCCCCCAACACATGGCTTCCTCACTTTGGCACTTACCCCAGCAGCTGGCACTTAGTAGGCCTGTCATAGACGGAACTGACTGTTGAAGACGTCTGGTCTCCAACCTTCTGCTCCAGTGGTGGGTGCCTCCCTGGCCTCATGACCTCAGAAGGCTCTTCGAAGCCAGGACCCATGTGGGGAAGAGGGAAAGTGTTGATTAACCTGGCAATATGCCCTGGGTGCTGCAGAGAGGCAGGGTGAAGGGATGGGAGGAAGGGTGGAAGTGGGCAGAGGACTGCATGATCAGCCCTGCCTTAGGCTCTCCAGAGACAGCCAGAGCCTTAGGAGCTTCTGGACTAGCCTGGACACTGAATCCCAAGCAGGCCTTAAGCCAAGTTGTCACTGGCTAGCAAGGCCTGGCTTTTGCTTTAAAGTGGGGGAGGAAGGAGGGCCCCCTCAATCCCAGGACAAAGACTCCCCCCCACCAGCCCATCACGGGAGGCCCAGCCCAGCCCAGCAGTCAGGCAGCTCCCCAACTTGGCTCCCATCCCCAGTTCCTCCACCCCAGAATCTGGCCCACTCCCCAATTTGGGAGGCAGCTCGCCATGAATGAACACAGCTCATTAGCGTTCCCAGCACATTATACTCGTTAAACAACCGCCTGGCCAGCCGCACACTCCAAACCCCGCCCCCCTTTGCTTGTTCAGTTTCCTCTCCCATGCCCCTCCCTCTGTCGGGTCTCCCTCCCCCCTCCCCACAGCCAGCCGGCCACCTGCTCCCTCTGCACTGGTGGGGAGGAAGCAGGCCTGTCACACTGCTTCTACCAGGAGCGCCCCACCAAGCCCCACTCTGCTCACTGGCCACTAGCAGGCAACCCCCCAGAGGTATACTTGGGGCTGGGTCTCCCCATCTAGTGGTGTGAGCCTCCTCTGAGTCCCCTCAGCCATGTGTACTCTGGAGCTGCGGGCCACCTCCTGCCTGTGACTCGGGGAAACTGTGTCCTCCTTCCAGCTTTCTTCTCAGGGTCTTTGCCTCCATCTCCACCAGCCCCTCCTAAAGCACGAAGAAGGTAGAGAGCCTGGGTGAGGCTGCTGAGGACTGTGGTTTAGATTTCCAAACTGCAAAAGACAAGAATGAGACAAGATGCCTGCTATCTGAGCATTTGATAAACACAATTTATTGAGTATTTATGTACTATGCTCACTGAACTGGGACTCAGCAACTTAATAGGGAATAAAAACAGACCTGGCCCACAGTGAGCTCATGGTCCAGCGGGGGAACAGAAAAAGGAAAGCCATTCAACACAATTATTTTGGTAACAGGGGGTGTGAATTTGCAGAGAACCCAGCATGTGGGGCTCAGAGTAGGGTTGGAAGGCTCCCTGGAAGAGGAAGCCCTTGAGCTGAGTCTTGAAGGATAAACAGGCATTGGCTGGACGGCAAGACAGGAAGAAAGGCTTTCTGGGCAAAGAGAATTGCATGAGGTAAGGCACACAGACGGCAGCATCCTTGGTAGCTGAGCTCTGGCAAGGTCAGCAAGGCAGGGCTTCAGGTGCGCAGTGTGGGCAGAGGTCAGAGAGGTGATGGGGTGCACCCCAGAGGTCCTGGTGTATCCGTTCTCTGATTTTACTGGCCTTGCAGAATCCCCTGACTTGTCCCCGCATTCAAGCACATGCCTACATATGTTTGTGCCTGCAATGCACTATCCCCAGAACCAGTGACAGTGGTGGCTTCCAAGGAAGGGACTGGGTGGTGGCAGGGGGACAGTTTCAGCATATGCTTTTTTTCCCTACTGTTAGGATTTCTTTACCTGTATAATAGACTTAAAGGCCACCAACACCCCCAACAACCACCAATACATTTTTTTTGACATCCCCTGGAGTGTTTATTATAAATGCCAATTCCTAGGACACACCCAACACTTTCTTAATCAGAATATTCAGTTAGCAAGTTGGGGGGGCTGTGGCGGTGGTTTCAAAGACCACGCTCTAAGAATCAAGGTCTGGTGAACTGAGTTAATGAGTTTGAACTTGAACCTGAAAACTCTGGGGAGGCATTGAAGGAAGGGGCCTGGCAGGGACAAAGGGTCTGAAGCTTGCCTGCCTCCCTCTTCTCCAGTTTCCACATACTGTTAGCAAGCATGAGACACATCAAAGAGAAAGATAGCCATGGGGGTGGGAGGGGGGTAAAGGGGAGGGGACAGAGCCATGTGACATGTGACACCGGTGCATAGTAGCTTCAATCACAAAATGTCAGGGCTGGAAGGAGATGAAGGAATGATCAAATCCAAATACCACTGTGCAGCTGGTGGTCCACAGAAGTGAAGCAACCAGCCCATGTGGCAAAGGAGTTGCCAAGGCGAGTCACGAATAAGTCTGGATCTTGCTTCCCTAGGCCACACGCCTGGGGAAAACACAGCAACCAATCCACCGCGAACCTATTACCCCCACTGGGACTGAGAAGACAGGAGTCGCTGGGAGGTCATGCTAGCAAGGCTCAGGATATTTTAATTTTAATCTCTAAACCCCATGATGTACTCAAATTTGAAGAGGGATGGACCCCTTGAGGCTCTCAATGACAAAGTTCCGGGACTTTGTGCCTTTTATAGAGGCCACCATATGCGTCCAGGACAACTCTGGCAAATGAGCCGCACTGGGAACAAGAGAGGAGAAAAGAGGGGAGAGGAAGAGAAAAGAGGAGATGAAAGGAAGAAAGCAGGGCAAGAAGTCTGTGCCTGCTGCCGTTTGCTCACTCATTTATCAAACATTGATTGCATGCCTGCTGTGAGCCAGCTGAATGCTTCTCCAGAGATAAGCATTTCAATCCCCACTTTACAGACAAGGAAATGGAGCCGCTAGAGGACAAGTAACTGACCCGTGGTCACAGAGCTGACTGCCTATCAGTTTCTGTTCTGTTCACGTTTCCAGTCTAGGACCTAACCCAGTGTCAGGACCCTAGTAGATGCTCAA